CACACCTGTGGTTGAACGTGGCTAGAGAAAAGCACAGAGCCATGCTGCCTGCTGTCACTTGAAGTGCGCGGTGCTGAAACTCTAGCTGACTCCTAACGCTGCTCAGCTGTCATATTTCCCTGGACACACTCCTTTGCTCCTAGATGATGATTTTGTGTCATCTCCCTCATTTCCTTCCCACCTAGTAACTGCAGGCACAAATGCCTCCACTGTGCTCTCTACCCAACCCTTCCCATCTCCTCAAGCATATTACGTTGACAGTTCTTTTGCTCCCCTATAACAAACTGTCACCCTCAAATGAATCATTTCCATCAGCACACAAGCATGCCATAATTTTACATATTCTAAAAGCAACAAAGCTGGGGCCAGGGATGCAGCTCGGTGGCATAAGTGCCTGCCTGGCAAATGTAAGGTCCTGAGTTCGATTTCCAGTACCACATGAAACAAACAAACAAAAAATGAAGCTTTTTAATGACTGTACTTCCCTTGGCATCCACCGCCCTGCTTGTCGGCTCCCTCTTCACAGCAAACTTGTCAGTGGAATCTTTAATGCTTGCTAGATACAACTCCTCTCCTCCAGTTCTCTCTTAAACCAACACAAATCAGATGTGTATCCATATTCCTCCATAGAAATTGTTCCTGTCAGAGTCATCAGGACTTTCATATTGCTAAGCTCAAAGGCCGATTCGAAGTTTTCATCGTATTGATGAAGAGCATCTGATCTAACTGACCCCTGCCTCCTTTGGAGTTTCTCCATTGACGTTCACTTCAGGACATCTTACTCTCCTGGTTTCTCTCCAAGAGAGTCAAAGCTCCAAGACTTGTTGTCTTTTCCCGGTTTCTGTCCTTTTCCCTGACTCTTACATGTTGAAGTGTGTAGGGTTTAGACCTCAATTCTCTACTGTTTCCTCCCCCCGTCTACCTCTTTTGAGCTCATTCAAATGCATGATTTTAAATACCATCAGTATCCCCATGTCTCTCCATGTATATCTGAAGCTCTAGATTTCTCTGAACTTTAGAGATACAGAATATATATATATATATATATCTGAATTCAGGATGTCTAAAACTGATTTCTTAAGCTGCTCCCCCAAACCTGATTGACCAGCATCCTTTCCATTACAAGTGATAGCAACTCTATCCTTTCAATTGTTCTGACCAAAAATCTCCAAGTCATCCTTGACTTTTGTTGTTTTATGCACACACCAAATCTGGCAGGAATTAACACTACCTTCTTTTTTTTTTTTTTTCTTTTTGTCTTTTTGAAACAGGGTCTCTCTAAGCAGTTCAGGCTGGCCTTGAGCTCACTTTGTAGCCCAGGCTGGTCTCGAACTCGCAATGATCCTCCTGGTTCAGCCTCCCGAGTGCTGAGATTACAGGCATGAGCCACCACGCATGGCTATAACACTACCTTCAAAATACACCTGGGAGCCATTGACTTCTTACCTTCCTCATTGCCACCCTCTAATCAAAGCCACCATCTAGTCACTCTTACCCTCAACACAGTAGCCAAGACAATGTTCTTTAAAAGGCATTTTAGCTCCTATCATTCCTTTGGTTAGAACCCTTCTGGAGCCTTGCTTTCCCACAGGGACTGTAGTCTCAAGGCCAGCTGCCAGCAAAGCCTTTCTCCAAAGATACCAATATTATATAAGGAGGCTTTGCACCCAACATAAGTCAAGTTTGGTGAGGAATGGAGTGGGCAGGTCATGCCCCAAAGCAGCAATGTTGTGTTAAACTTTGAACCCATAGCATAGTTCCAGGGCAGGACAAGCTCCACATTCCCGTAGCCTGCCCGCTGTTGAGGTACACTCTTGGTGAGGCTGATTGGAACAGAGCCCCACAGACTGGAGCCACACGTCCTCCTCCTGGCAAAAGGACGTGTCTCAGAGACTCCATCGCAGACGCTGGTTTACTTGCATTCCCAAATCTCAGCCCATTCCCCCACGCCTTCCCTCCATCTCTCTATCCCGCATATGTACTCTAGGTTTTTATGTGTGTGTGTGTTTTCCTTGTTTGGTTTGCTTCATCTTTGGTTTTGTTGAAACAGGGTCTCACTATGTGTTCCAGGCTGGCCTTGAACCCAGTACTGCAGCCCACGCTAGATTTGAACTCACAGCAGTCCTCCTGTTTTGGCCTCTGGAGTGCTGGCATGGAGGTATGTACCACCACACCGAGCTCACACACTGGTTCTTGATGCCTTTCCCCTCCCCTTTATATTTCAAACACAAAGAATCCTGGCCTGCCTCTGGCTTCTTCCAAGTCTCCCCGCTTTCTAAATATTATCCTGATCTGCTCAGAAGTGGACAAGGTGGCCTGGAGCTTACCCATAGCAAAGTGGAGAAATTATTTGACTCTATGACTCTCCTCTCTTTTTTTAGCTCCCAGAAGGAAATTTGATATCTACACCCATCAGTATTTTCTTCCTCAGGGAAAAGGGAGTGACATGGGGAGTTGGGAATGAGAAGAATCAGAACAAGTCTGGGAAAGGAAGGAAGCAGAGGCTATTTTGATCTGTTCTTTGTACTCATCACAAATGCCTGTATTGGACGGTGACCAGGTAATGGTGAATTCTGGGGACATGCTCATGTTATCCCAATGCCTAATCCAAAAAGAAAACAACCACAGCAAACAAGGGGTAAAGCACAAAGTCAAAACAGAGACGACTCTCTGGGCCTCTAGACTTGGCTTAAAGAATTTAAACAGAGGCAAGAGAGCTGGGGGATAATTACATTTGGGAAGAGTTTTTTTCCCATATTACACAAGTTGTCAGAAAATGGTAATGAAGGCAAAATGGTAACTCAAAACAGATAACTCATGTGTGGGGCACACAGACAGAGGGCCAAATAGATGTTTGACCTTAATTCTATAGATATTTTCCATTCATCGAGAGGAAAAAGTAAATCAAATTCCAGTTGGGTTTGGGCTTTTATTTTTGGTGGTGCTAATCTAAAACCAGAACTTCAGTGTTACATACATATATATATATATATCCCCCCATCTTCTCCATCTCAACATGGAGAAGGGAAACTGGAACTTTCCAAAAACACTTTTTGATCATGGAACGTGTCTTGATTTTTGCATTGAAAAACAATTCATTTGGAATATAAAGCTGTAGAAGATGAAAGATGGGGAGGGTTGGACTATGCTGGAGCAGAGAATAGAGAATAAAATATTGACTGAGTGCAGAATCTTCTATTGGATTATGCATGATACAGAGAGGACCATGGATCATGTAGAAGTTCAAATGAGCATCAGTCAAGGTTTTGATTGCAAAACCCAGTAATCAACTTGAACAAGCTGGAGAGAAAGGCGAATTTTTTCATTTGTCCCAAATCAAACCTGATCATGGGATTCTCCTCCACTCCAGTCCACGGATTCCGTCACAGCTATGCAGAACCGAACCCAGGCAGAGCCTAACATGCTCTAGGAAAGTGGCCCTCTGCCACTGAGCTATGTCCCCAGGTACAAAAGAGAATGTTTTCGGTTTTGTTTTGTTTGTTTGTGTTTGTTTTGTTTTGTTTTGTTTTTAAGGTAGAACAAAGCCAACGGAGACAATGCAGTGAAATTGGTACAGAACTTCAGAGCAGGATACTGGAAAAGCAGTAATAGGTATCATAGTATATCTCGTTATCTTCACAATAGTTGTCTAGCCGATTAGATATAACAAAATCAAGCCAAAGACAGAACCTTATAAAACCAATCAAAAGAGAATATTGAATAGAGTAAAGCAATTAATCATGATGAAACAAAACAGTGTAAACATTTCCTTCAAACAGAAGATGGAAGTCCTCCATTTTGCTATGCTGCTTACGGTCATCCTCTTAAGACATGCTCAGACCTCTGTCCCCAGTTGCTAAGGGCGGTGTGTGTGTGAGGTGTGGGGTGGGGTTGGGATGTTTGATACGCTCACAGGAGATGTGACTGGGTCTCCTGCTGGCTCACGCTGCCTACCAAGAGGGTGGCGAATTGCTTCTTTGTGCAGTAGCCTGGGTCCCACTATGGCCTTGGCCAGGTCTCTGGGGCCGCTGCCTGGGTCTCCTCCTGGCTCAAGCTGGAGGAAGGCTAGGAGACTGTTTTTAAAGAAACAAAGATGCTTCCCAAAGGGCTGGATCCATGCACTGAAAAATCTGACTAAAAATTTTATATCTAAACTCAACCTCTCTGTGTGCCTACTTCATATTCTTTTTCCTCTCCTCTGTCTCATCCTCTCTCCTCTCCACCTTGTCCTCTCTTCTCCTCTATCCCTTCCTGTCTTCTCCCCTCAACTCTCCCTTCCTCTCTTTCAGTTTTTGTGAAGACACATGGCTTCCCTGCAGCTCTTGAATGTATTTACCCCACTCGATGTAAACATAAACAGTGCTAGCCATAGAAGGAACCAATTCTTTATCTCCTCTCCAAGTTTCAGATTTCAAGCAAAAAGAATCTTGTGGACCAAGCTTGAGACCCACTCAGTCATGCCCAGGAAGGCAGGTGTTATGACATAGACATGGCTACAGGAGACCCGCCCTGTGAGTGTGGAGGAAGGAGCGCTTACCAGGACAGGATGTCTGCTAGGAGGTGATATGGTGACTTTAGATAGAAAGTATGCTTCTGGAAGAATTGAGTGGAGCAGATTACTGATGAAAGAACAGATGACTAAGAAATTTAAAGCACCTTTATTAAAGTTTGTATTCTTGCCCTTGTCCTGAACTCCTTCAGTTCCTAAATCCTCAAAGCATCTGTAGATAAAGGAAGTAGGATTCCATGGTGACTGAGAGATGTGCTCTGAGATTAAATTGCCTGTACAGTCACACGTCCCTTAATGGTTTCTGCAAAATGTGTTATTAGGCAGTTGCATCACTAGATGAACATCATAGAAGGGATTTACACAAGCCTAGATGGTACAGATCAATCACTCCATGTGGCTTCTGTGTGTGTGTGTATTAGGTTGTTTGTGGTGTGGTAGATTGCTATTGCTTTGATTTTGGTAGGATTGAACCAAAGACCTTTGCATGAGGTATATTCCCAGGCTTTTATTTATTTATTTTTTAAATTATGATACAGGGTTTTGCTAAGTTACTGAGTTGCACAGGCTGGAGCTTGAACCTGTGATCTTCCTACGTCAGTCTCCTTGAGTGCTGGGATCACAGGTGTGCATCATCACATCTGGCTTTAACGTCTTCTTCATGCAGTCCAGGGGCACAGTAAACACCACCTGTATGAGGCAACTGCCAAGAAAATACAGCATACTATGTCCTGTAAGTATGTTTAAATAAATAGTGATATACTCTAAAATAACTATTAAAACAGTAAGTGAACACAGAAGCCAGTATTCAGCATTGCATACAATGGCACGTCTGATGCTTTTATACTACTGGCAGTGCAGTAGGTTTGTTTACATGGGCATCACCACAAATATAGGAGACAGGCATTGTGCTGTGAGATGAGAATTCCCGGCACTAAGTGATAGGAATTATTGAGCTCTAATGTAATCCGAGGTCACTATCACCCACATGAACCGTCATTGTCTAAAACACAGTCTGTGACTGCATTTTAAATCATGAATTTGAGAACTTGGACATATTAGATACCTACCTGAGAATCAGGGTCCTCACCTGTAGAAACAGTAATATGAGGATGAAATAAGATAATATGTACACAGTATTTACACAACCGGCCCAGAACATAATTAGCAACATAATTTTGTAATGAAAACTAACCCACGGTTTTGAAATTTATATCAGCAGATCCAAAAATCTTTATGGGGCCAAAAAAGACGAAGAAGAAGAAGATGAAGATGAAAAAGAAGAAGAAGAAGATGATGATGATGATGATAATGAGCAGACATAAAGCAAGTGGTCAGCTTGATTTCCTGGCTGTCCCTCTGAATGTGGTCTCTGAAGTAGGAGGTTTCAGCAGAAAAACAAGCCATGAAGATCCTGTGGTGCCAATGGGACTGGAGGACTCATGGGTTCTTTGGGGCAGTCCCACTCCTTTCTGATCCTAGAGGTTTAATATCTTCCTACCCGTTAAATGGCCATGATTTGGAAGACAGAAGACAAGAAGAGGAATTGCTTTCAGCTGTCCCTTGTCTTTAAATAACCAGGGATATAAAACTGTTTAAACACAAGGAGACCATGTGTAACACATTAGTTAAATTCAGATATAAATCTCATCTTTGACCAGTCCAGAGCTAATCAATATGCTTTTTTACTCTCTTTGAACTTGAGTTTTCTGGCAACAGCAAAAATCTCGAACCCCATCCAAAACCATAGCCCAGACAGCCCAGCTCTGATACTCCCCTCCCTGCTGTCAATATTGTTGACAGAACTACTCACATTACCACATTCATTCCAGTGGTGATTTAAATTCTTCTGAGAAAAAAAAAAAATGGGCTTGAACGACAGAAAATTGCCCCTGTAATCACTTAATAAGGACTCCTGGACAAGAATGCAGAGCTATGAATATAGAGTGAATTTTAGTCTTTACAGATGACTTTTTCTCAATTATTTTCAGTGAAAACCATGGTGATCTAACTTAAATAGCAAAGTAAACTGTAAACTGAGGAGGAAAATTACCCATAATAAGAATTTCGAAGGAAATATGGATCGACCTGTTTTAAGCTCAAAGGCACTTTGTCACATTACAAATTCACATATACGTGAAATGTATTGGTTTAACTGGGTCAGTTTTAGAGTAAAATTAAGTTACTCTGCTCGTTTCCAAAAAATCAAGTATTTGATTCAGAAAAAAAAGTCGTGCAGTTTGATTCCTAAAGCAGAGAGTGAGGTAATGGGGGAGAAGATGCGCCCAGTGCTGCCCAGTCCCTGGGGAAATGCATGCCCCCCACACTGCCATTAGAGTCATTCCAGGAGACTGCACTGTGATCCTACATCATTAGAGCAACTGCTTCTGCCCCCAGCATTCTCTTTGCCTCAGAAAGAGGAAGATTCAGAACATGCAGTCAAATCCTCTATCTAGGAGAGAAATCAGCCTCTTTGTCATACTGAGGATGTCGTCTAAGAAGTGTGCCTCTGAACGTTAGAGTTTCATACCTCAGTGTCACAGAGCCTTGGAAAATAAAGTCAACAGCAGCAAGGGATGATTGGATACAACAGTAATAAGATCGCTTATCACGGTTAACTGAACACAACTCACCAAACCATTCTATTAGAAATTCTTTCCAGAAAAAGCTAAGAACAATCCAGCCAACAGGATTTCTTAGACATTTGTGCCCAGCAAGCGAACCCTTCCCCATTCCATATATATGTGTAAACGTTTATATAAAGTAGAAGGTCAAAACTTGGAGAGTGTAACCCAAGGCAATGCTAGCACAGTGTTCCTGTTTTTGACTTGAATGACCTTTCTATGAGAGTCACAGTTGTGTCACAGTGTCCCTGATAGTAAAGGACATTGAAAGGTCATTTGCCTCGAGACTCCACTAGCGCACAGGCATCAACAGGGAGAAGCTAGTAAAAATGCAGAATATGAGGTCTGCCTCTCTCACTGACTCAGAATGTGCATTTTGACAGGATCGCCAGGTGATTCACAAGCACACTGAAGGTTAAAACATTCAAATGTGCCACACTAAATCACTTCCCTGCCCCTGAGCAGCGCTGAACACAATGGTTAGACCCTTCTCGTCCAGTCAATGTCAGATCCTTTGCAGAGTGTTTTGTCTGAGGCACAGAGCAGAAAGGGAAAACACACTTATTTAAGGAAGTCTTATACAGCATAACAGAGCTAACAGCTCTTTCGGTACATTCAAATGCCTGTTCTTGGCAGCAGCGCTGCTGATAGGTCAAAGGAAAGAGAAGCAGAAAACGGAACAGGAATAAAGTAAGAACAGTGCAGAAGCTGAATCTATGAGAGCTGAGAGGCGTACTTTCACCAAATTATCAGATTCAACCTTGTCTCTGCACCGTGGTTAATTTATCGCTCTGGAAGTTTAAAAGCTTGAGACTTGTGGCTTAAACAGAATGCCCTGGAATTACCAACATGAAATTATTGGATGGTTTGTACGCTCATTCTGTAGCTCCTGTAAGTTTCATAGTTGTAACAGGACTGGAATCTGAGCAATACAAAACTCTGTGGCTTAATGACTGCTCAACCAATAAGCCCAAGGCTGAAGATTTACAGTAATTATGTATGTGTGACCCAGAGATCCTCAAACTTAGCTTTCCATTAGAATAACCTGGGTAATATTTCCAAAGGCTGCTTCTTTGAGATATAACTGACATGTAATATGCTATATATATTTATTTCATTGTACAATTGAATGGGTTTCAATATTATATGTCAATTGTGTATATACCTATGAAACCATTGCCACAATCCAGCTAAGCATCTCTAAATGTCTCCGTACCCCTTCGTGATCTATCATCCATCCTGAAATCACTGACCTGTTTTCTGCACTATAGGTTAGTATCTATTTTCTAGAATTTTATGTAAATGGAAACTTATGATGGGTACTCTTTTTGGATTGGAAGTGTCTGGCTTCTTTTTTGTTTTGTTTTGTTTTTTGGTACCAGGTATCAAACTCACAACCTTGCCCTTGCCAGATGAGTGCTTATAGTGCTGAGCTAAATCCCCGTCCAATTGTCTGGCTTCTTTCACTGGGTGTAATTGCTCTGAGATTTGTCCATGTACATATGCTAGTAGTTTAGCCTTTTTATCTCAGAGCAATATGAGTGAAGTACAGTTTAACCACTCACAATAGTACAGCATTTTGGTGATTTCTTCTTTATTTTATTTATTTATTTGGTACCAGGGATTGAACTCATGACCTCACACTTGCCAGGCAGGCACTTACACCACTGAGCTAAATCCACAGCCCAGTTATTTCTCTTTTGGAGAAATTATAAATAAGTTTTTATTTCTCAAGGTAAAATTCTAAAAGTGCACATAATAAGTGTATTTTTAACTCTTAAAAAATTATTGAACTAGGGGAGCAGGGATGGGGGAGCTGGGAAGGAAAAAAAGAAAGAAATTTTTGGCCAAGCATGGTAGTACCTGCCTGTAATTCCGGATGCAGGAGGTGGGAGGATCCCTCCAGTTTGAGGCCAGACTGGGCTACACAGTGAGTTCAAGGCCAGCCTTCTGAACTACGTCATGTATTCTCAAAAAGAAAAGAAATTTTAAACTAAATTGATATAAAAATGTAATTTTTCAAAATGTGTTGATATAGCAGAAAGAGTTTAAAGGAAAATTTCTAGCACTACAACACACATAAAAGTGAAATCTTAGCTCAATAACTAATTTAATAAATTCATTAACAGTAATAATAGGCAAATAATAGTCAATGCAGAAAAACCTCAAGTAATAATTATGCCCTACTTTGAAAAAATAGTATTCTAATTGCTCTGTCCTTACATGTGGACATCATATAACTTTTTCCAAATAATATCCTATCGGATGGGGATAAACAAGAATGGCTTTGCAAAGAAATTTCACAACTATTTCCTCAGTCAGGTGATCAAGATTAAAGTCAGCAGAGAGCATTTTGACCAGGTGTGGTGGCACACGCCTGTAATCCCAGCACTCGGGAGGCTGAGGCAGGAGAATCACCACTAATTTGAGGCCAGCCCGGATTATAAAGTGAGTTTAAACTAGCCCAAACTACATAGTGAGACCTTGCCTCAAAAACTAAAAAAGTGATAAACTAGTGAGCTGTCACATTAGCAGTGTGTGCCTAGTCATGGTGATGAAGGGAAGGATGCTTTAGTTCTAATGGTTCACTCATTAATCCAGAGGATCAGTCCAATTATAATAAATGTATTTTTAAAACCTCAATCAGGTGACCGTTTAGATAGTATCTGACCGAAAGTCCTGAAAATTATCAAAGTTCTCAAAGAAAGAGCAAAGGTTTTGGAAACCCTCAGTGGCAAAAGAAGCCTAAGGAGAACATAAAATTGTCATGATGTCCTTGATAGCATCCTGAAAAGAAAAAGGCACCAGATAAAAACAAAGAGAATGTGAATAAAGTATAGACTCTGATAATAATGTCAACGCTGGCCCAGCATTATAACAAATGTGCCACAAACGTGTCTGATGCTAATACCGGTGACATTGGCAATGAGGAATATGGTAATTATTTGTTTTCTGTAAATTTAAGTCTAGCCAATAGCAAACAGTTTATTATCAAAGAATTACATTCAATAGTGTGATTGTAAAATTCACGGTTTCTGTTACAAAGCTAGTTGTTCAAATTACAAAATATAATTGGAAA